TTTATAATTAAAAATGCATAATGAATTAAACTTCTTTATGAGCTAGTGCCTCGGGAATTCAATTGCATTAACATCTCATTGTCTTAGTTTTTTGTTTATGAAAAAGAACAACACAAATAACACAATGAGCAAACACCTAATACAACTTATACTACCAACACAATTTTAGTTCCAATTAAGGACTAACATCATTGGCGAGTTAATCCCTTTTTGGTCATAGACTTATAGTGGCATGGGCAATTTTAGTCCTCCATAAAAAATTTGGCCAATTTATGGACACACTTATTGTGACGAGGACAATTTTTATCCTCTGTCTATTATCTCGTTAGTTGACCGTCTAAACAATGGGTATTTCTGTCATTCAATGTGGTGGGTGAGGAAGAAGAGCTCGTAGACACGCCGACGATCCCGAATGACACTAAATCATGATGGATGATTTATTTCCAGACCTATCACGATGGCAACGCCGACGATGGCTGATTTCTGTCATTCTAGACCCACCTAAAATGTTAGAAGCTCTATCACGATGGATGATTTATTTCCAGAAATCGTGAGGGAAGCAGTAGATTCGATTGTGAAAATATCATAAATTCGATTGGGAAGTAGTAGATGATTTATTTCCAGAAATCGAGCAGATGCATTTCAAACAAAATCTGATTCTGAAAATCCGAAGGTAATCTCAGAAATTCAACACCAAGGAGATTCGATTGTGAAAATATGAGTAGAGGAATGGGAGAATTTAGCAGAGATTGATAGGAGATTTACCTTGGTTGGGCGTTTTGTGAAAGCGAGACCTCAATCATCTTTACGTTGGGTTTCTTTGCGATAGCTGTGCAGTCCCAACTGTTCACAATTATTGAAGTCTATATTCACAATTACAGAATTCTATATTCATAATTATAGAACTCTATGTTCATAATTTTTAAACTCCATATTCACAATTACAGAACTCTATATTCATAATTATAGAACTCTATGTAACTCTATGTTCATAATTTTTTAACTCTATATTCATAATTCTTGAACTCTATATTCACAACGTCTCGTTAAGTTATTTTGACAATTTTTTTTTTTTTAATTCTGATTGGTGGAAGAAAATGGTGCCACTAACGATATTATTACTCCAAAATTACCAAATGACGTTGTATTGAAACCGTGTCCACCTTGCAAGGTGGACACGGTTCAACGACATAACAATTGTATGCCCAATCTATTCTTCGGCAAATTATGCCCTGGACCCGTGTCCACAGTGAATTGTGGACACGGGCCCAAAACGACGTCGTTTTAAAAAAAAAAAAAACGCGTCATTTAGTTTAAAAAAAAAAAAAAAAATCGCGCGCGTTTTGCCGTTAACGGCGTTAATGGCGTTATTTTTTATTTTTTGGATTATGAATGTACAGTTATTCCATTATGAATGTACAGTTATGCCGTTATGAATGTACAGTTATGCAATTATGAAATTATGAACACAGAACTCTAACATTATGAACATATATAGTGATAAAATTATGACCATGGAGCTTTAAAATTGTGAATATAGAGCTTCGAAGATTATGAATGTACAGTTATGGAGTTATGAATGTACAGTTATGGAGTTATGAATCTACAGTTATGAGATTATGAATCTACAGTTATGGAATTATGAATGTACAGTTATTGATCGAATTATGAACAAAGAGCTCTAACATTATGAACTTACAATTATGAACATATAGTGATAAAATTATGAACATAGAGCTCTAAAATTGTGAACATAGAGTTTCGAAAATTATGAATGTACAATTATAGAGTTATGAATGTACAGTTATGGAGTTATGAATGTACAGTTATGGAGTTATGAATGTACAGTTATAGAGTTATGAATGTATAGTTATTAATAATATAGTAATAAAATTATGAATATATACTCCTATAACAAAGCGGTCTGAAATTAAAAAAAAAAAAAAAAAAAAAAAAAAAAAAAAAAAAAAAAAAGAAGATAACAGTGCCTAATGGCACTGTTACCCGTGTCCAGCAAGCATGCTGGACACGGGTCCAACGCATAATGATTGCTATTCTTCTGTATGGGCTTGGCCTGTTCCTTAAATTGGGTTGGGTCTTATTTTTCTCTCTTAAATCTGGGCTTTATGTTGTCCAACGGACATGAAAATGTCACAATCTTCCATCTCCGACCACTAATTACAACCACCCGCAAATTATATCGTGTCTCGAAATTCACATTACAATGTAGGAAAAACAAAGAGAAAAGAGGCCATATTAGTTTTATAAATATTATAAATTTAAAATTTTTTAATAGTTACAAAATTAGTTTTGAATTTTTTTTAACTAAAATTATCAATCATTAATGAATCTTGATATATGATCAATCATCACTTTTTTACATGATAATCATGTTATCATCTGAATATATATAGTCAGGTTCAAATGAGCACTAGCAATCACGTGAGAACATGCTTACTAACATCACCTGTCTATCTAATATGATCAATGGTTGAAAATTAATGAAAAAGAAACGTTATGATATTTCTGTAATTATAATAGTGCAGTGGGAAACGCTAAATAATGCATTCACGAATAATTAATAATATACACATGTGAGTGCACTATATATTATAGATTTATTAGATTATATAAATATACTGTCAATTATCCGCGAATGCATTATCAAATGTTTTCAAATACGCTGTTGTAATTATCAAAATGCTACAATACTTTTCTTTAAAGTTTAAACTCTTAATCATTTTAAATGAATAAATAAGATTAATTCACAAGTTCTCACGAAACTATCCGTTCTCACCCCTTCAAAGTTTATAAAATATGATATGATAAATCAATAAGCCATTAGTTGATCGCTGGAAGGTTGCGTGGCTGCATAGAATAATGCAAGTTCACAGCCCATTCATATTTATATATAACAATTAGTATATATCCATATCTGGCAAACCTCATTTCAAAACAATCACTAAGAATAATGAGTTAAACGTTAATGTTAGTATCTATTTCACAAAATAGATTGACACCCACTACTAAATCTAACCAATCCTTAATACTAATTTTTTAAGGAAAATATGAAAACTTCATTAACCATCAATAAGGGATGAGATACTAATTAATTATGGCATTTTTTACAAAAACGCTCTAACCTCCAATTTTTATAATAACACCGTCCAAAATTTCTACTCAAAACTCACCATTATTATATTACGATGTGAGCTAGTACGGTGAGTCCTGTTAAAAATAATTATGTCCTAACATTGATTTATATAATAAAGGTTGTAATTCCATAAAGTACTCACCGTGATTATTAGTGGTGTGTAAAGACGAAATATAATTACTGGGTGAAATTCTTTTCACTCATTCGGTTAAAATTTAAGTTTATAAGGGTTAAAAGATGTATAATGAAAAATGGTTAGGGGTTTCCTAAAAGGAAGTTTCACATTCCTAAATGGATTTCTATTCGTAAAAGGAAGCCAGTTTCTCATTCCTTTTGAAAGATGATTTCTCATCTTCTATTCCTAAAAGGAGTTAGGTTTCTCATTCATCTTGAAAGATGATTTCTCATCACATCTATAAATACCCAGGAAAACTTTAGGAATTCAATACAATTTTCTAGTCTATGAGTTTTCTAGTCTCCACATCATTACAAAGGTGAAGCTGATTTATTCAGATTGCATCTCTAATGGACAATATTACCGAGGTGAAACTGATTTCTTCAAATTACATCTCCAACAAAACAAGTAAGTTTTATTTTTATTTATGTTTATTTCAAGCTGGCTTATCAGATGGAATAAATAAATTATGCTAACTACTAATAAATTGACTAATTTTATTATACTTTGTTTTTTTATGAAACCAAATCAAATAATGCAAAAATTAATAATCATTTATTTTTCTAATATATTAATACAATTCTAGAAAAGGGTATGGCAAGTGTAGAAGTTTTGATGACTTTATCTACGTTGACCATCCAAACCCCTTTTAGTGAAGTTGTTTATTTCTAGCAAAACACGTTTCTTTAATTCTATTATAACTACGGGTTCGCCCTTATCCGTCACGGAAACAGCTAATACATTTTCCGTCACTCACGCCGCTTACGCTACACACAAGCCGTTACGTCACTAACGTTCCCTTACACGAAACAAACGGCCGCACGTTGTCCCAACTTCACCGGAAGCTTTCGTCACCTTCAAAAGTGAAATATATTGTGACTCAATAAGATTATAAAAAGATAAATCAGAACTAATAATTATCTTTTAGATGAGAGAATCGATATCTATTACAACTTAGATCTTGTATTTATCTCATAACCTATCATTTAAGTATCAACTGAATTATTTATGTGAGACGGAAGGTTTTTTCGTAAAATGGTTCAGTAGACAGCAATGTTGGAAAAATCTCTAGGTGCCCTCTAGGCGCTTGAGACCGCCTAGGGCGTCTAGAGGGCCTAGGCGAGCGCCTAGGGCTCCTAGGACACTAGGACTAAACTCTAGGCGCCCTCTAGGTGCCTGGGACCACATAGAGCGCCTAGAGGGCCTAGGCGGGCGCCTAGGGCTCCTAGGATTAGGAGGCCGACCGTCTAAGGGGCGTAATTTTTGCAACGCTGATAGATAGTATTTGAGAGGATAAGAGATTTCGATGGTGACATTATGGAGATTATGTCTAAAATGAACAGATCTGAGCATTTGGTCATGTGTCATTAAATCACCGTAATTTACATATTTTCAAATGCTCTGTCGGGTCGGACTGTTGGACCTTGAGGTCGGAGATTTAGTAGAAGCATTCCTAGTAAAATTACTAAATTGTGGAGAGCTAATCACTATTACTTAGCTATTAGCTACTTTTTAAGTGTTCAGTTTTGATCTTGTGTCCTTGTCCACGAATTACTAAGACTGATTAACGTACGAAATCGTTCCACGTCATCGACCCCAGGGCAGCACCGGTGCGCCCCACCGCAGCGTGAGCGAGAATATTCCAAACCACTAATTCTGAATATCTCTCTCTTCTCTTCTCTCCCTAGAGTTCTTCCTCGTTCCCTTCTCTCTGTAAAAGTTCCCTCCTTGCTTCGATTCCGATCTATATAAGGAAAGCCCTCGCCACCTCTCTAGATTCGCTCCTCATTTATATCAAAAGGACCCCTTTATGGATACGTTGTTGTTCGATTCAATCACGGTGAAGAAGAACAACGACGATAACAACAATTTGCTGCCTTGTTCCCCTTTCGTTCAATCTCACCCATCCGATTCCCAGTTTCCGATCATTAGTCAACCTTGTATCTCTTTCTAACCCTTGCTTTCTGGAGCCGTCAGCCTGTCACCATGGGTAAAAGTAAGCTCTCTAATTTCTCTCGATGCATACTGCAATTGTTGAGCATACAATATATAAACATAAATGCAATCCAGCTTAGGTCTTTAGTTGAGATAGAGCACAAAGTCAGGGTTCGAATTGAAAAGCTTAGATTTTTAGTTGAGATAGGAGCACATGCTTCAATTGTAATCAATTTCCTAATTTCTTAGGTTTTGCTTTGCTTTGGGAAATAAATTTGGGATTTTTATTGACTGTGGGGGGTTAAACATGGAATATAGCATTCAATTAGATTCTTGTACGGAGTAATTAATTGGAATTAAGTGTGAGATTAATAGATTCTAGGGCACCTTGTGTATATACTAGGTAGTACTGTTTTTTTTATTTGTTAAATGAATGGTCTTTCACCTTTGTCAGTTGAGTTACTTGGTTTTTGGATGTGATTACTGTTGAATTGTCGATGGAATTTGGAACTAAGGGTTTTATTTCCCTTTCTGGTAATTGAAATTGTAGGGAGTTCACAACGGAAGAGTGCTGCGATGTTAGATAGCGATACAGATAGTGTGAGTTCATCCTCGACTGCTCGCTCAGAAATGTTGGTGTCTAGTGGGGAGGAAGTTCACCTTGATAAGGACACTCTTCTTGATCAATGCTTAGATGCCCTTTACGAGAAAAGGTATAATATTTATTGCCTCACTTGTCGAACTAATCTTGAGAATATGGATGCAATGTATGCCCTAGCTCGTGTTGTATTTACTAATGAGCAATGGTGGGTTAAAAAGTTTATAGTTTAGGCTATTGGTTTCGGTACTTTTATTAGAAGTGTATGTGATTTAGGGTATAAAAATTGGAGTGATTTTAGTTTTATTGTACTCGAAGTATGTCATGAATTCTCTCACATTCCTCGTTTTGTCGCTTTTAGGGGAGCTACAAGAGAGAAGGCGTTGGCATCGCTCATAGATGCCTTTAATAGCAGCATGCAACATGAATATGTTGAAAAGAAGTAAGCCAATGTTTTGAATTTGTAGCTTAGTTCTATGTAGTTTTCTTCAGTAGGTTCATAGTTACAAAGGGGAATGCTCTAACTCTACGGTGGTAATGCACCCTTCAGGATTTAAATAATCTTGTTTTTTCTGATTCAGGTTTGCAACGATGCTGCATCAATGTCTTAATTCCATTAAGAAAGGATCCTCGAGGGAGATAGCCTTGGCGTCTCATTTTATTGGTAACTGATCTACTTGGTAACAGATTTTCGTTCTACTTTCTGGTTGCTGGACCTTCATTTTTGATGTTTATGTAACACTGTAGGACTTTTGGCTTTGACTACTGGCCCTGGGAATAAAGCACAAGAGATATTGGAAGAGTCAATCACTCCTATTTCAGAAGCTCTCAAATCTCGTTCCGATGCTTCTAAGATATCAGCGGTATATATAATTTTTTAACCTTTTCTGGTACTTGGTTCTTGAATGGAAAATTTTGTTGCTCATAATGCCTATTTGTGGACGTTATTTCAGCTACTGGAGTGTTTGGCCATTATCACCTTTATTGGAGGCGAAGAACCTGAGGAGACTGAGAAGTTGATGCAATTGATGTGGCAAATCATTCATCCAAAACTGGGTCCTAATGTACGTCTCTCACACTCTCATTCTTCTTATGTTTAGAGAATTTCTGTGTTAACCCGAACATATCTAATCAAGCAACCACAAAGACCAGTGAATTCAGATACTTTGCTTGAATTTGTCTGCATTTGATCAAACAGTTTTCAATATTTTTAGAATTAGTATTTGATATAAAAGTTATCCTAGATTTAACATTTTAACTTCTCTGCATTGTATCCTATAGGTGTCTTCCGCTAAACCTTCATCACCAATTATAACAGCAGTAGTGTCTGCATGGACCTTCCTTCTCACTACTATGAACGGATGGACTCTTAATCCCAAAAGTTGGCAAGAGTGAGTATATACATCGCTGCCCTTTACCTTCCCGTTCCTCCATTTTCTTTGTGTGGAGGTGTGGAATATGAAGAAGAGAAGTGTGGAATCGTATATTTGCATATATGGCATATATATATATATATATATATATATATATATATATATATATATACATATATATATACATATATATATACATATACATATATATATACATATATATATACATATATACACATATATATATATATATATTATATTTTGGGTTATACCACGAGGTGTCCTGAACAGGCCCTAATTGTAGGAGGCCACTTTAAGCCCGTACCATACTCAAACTAATCCAGGTTTGCACCGGCCCGGCCCAATTAAGGGGCAAAGTGCTGGCCAGATTGGTTTTTCCATAAAAGGGGTTCGAACTCCCGACCTCTCTTAAGGGACAAGAGTGCACGGCCACTCATGCCAACCAAGCTGGTTATATGACATATTTGAATGTGGTGCATGCATCTCCGATAATAAACTAAACTACACTTGTAATGCAGGTCCATCTCGTACTTCTCCTCTCTGCTAGACAAGGACGATAGATCTGTACGCATTGCAGCTGGTGAGGCGCTTGCTTTGATTTTTGAAGTTGGGAACTTGGAAAAGTTTGCTGGTGAAGCGAAAGGATCTGGTGACGGCTCCACAGATGAAGGGACCAAATCTCGAGAATTAGTACATATCCAGGGGTTGAGATCTAAAGTTCTGAACCAAGTAAGAAGTCTTTCGATAGAGGCAGGAGGTAAAGGGTCTGCCAAGAAAGATCTCAACAGTCAAAGGAACACCTTTCGAGATATTCAGGAGTTCCTTGAGGTAATTTTCTATTATTATGAGTAAACATTATTTATTTACTCTCTGCTAGGCGCTGCCTTTTTAACCCAACAAATTGGATTGCAGTATGGATATAGTCCGGAGACCTCTATGAAGATTGGTGGGGAGTCCTTAGACACTACTACATGGGGTGAACTCATTCAGGTTAATCCGTTTCTCTCCTTTTTTATTATTTTTTTCTTTAATATATAAATATATTTAAATATTCATATTCATTGCATGTATGACGGTGTCTATAACCATTGTGCAGCTCAACTTCTTAAAACATTTCCTTGGGGGTGGATTTGTAAAGCACATGCAGGTCTGTTCGTCGTATTTTAGTTTTCAACATTCCATAGTCTCTTTTTAAATTGTGAGATGTCCCTTTGATTGATTTCCGTTGATGTATGGGCAGGAAAATGAATTCCTTCAAGATGTTTTCAGCTTTACACCAAAGAAAAAAATGTTTTCAGGTGCTGAACACCGTGTATCTGGAACTGAAAAGGTTGGTTTGACTTACCCCCCACCCCCCCACCCGTTCTTGAATCTTGGAAGTATTTTGTTCCATTGAAATTTTCTGCAATTCTTACCGTGTTACTGGAACTATATTGTGTTTAAAGCCTGGTGTGGTTGTCAATGGTTTTTATGTATGAGTTATATTGATAGTCGGATACAAACACATCCAGTTTCTTGTAGTTAGTCATGGAAAAATACCCTATCTTAGGGCTTGATTCTCATCCTCATCCCATCTTAATTTGAGGAGGAGAACTGCGAATTGGGATTGATCTTAGGGCTTAAATCCTTTTATTCATGCTCAAATTGGGATCTTAAGTTGAAAAGGACGAAAATACCCTTAATAAACGAAGGGGTGACAGGCGTGATGAATTTTGGCACTAAAACAATAGTCATGGATGAAAATTGGTACTAAAACAGTAGTCGTGAATGAAAGTTGGTAGGAATTAAACATGTGGACCAAAACTGTGATTTTACTAATACTCGTGGGACCAAAATTGGTATTTGCGCGTTTAATGTTAATGTTCTGCATACTCACATACCTCCATTCCACTGAGCATTCTTCATATAATTGCAGAGGTTATACAAGTCGCCGAACTCGGTCCTGAACAAGGCAAGGACTCAGTATTTGAACAAGCAAAGGATGTTATCTCAGGCAAGTTTCCTTTTCCTCAACTTTGATTCTATGATTGGCAAAGAGAAGAATTGAAAAAATGAAGATTTTGAAAGACAATTGGTGTGTTTTCAGGACAGGAATGTTGGTTACTATACAGCTGGAGATGAGGCCTGAAAGACTCAAGGAATTTTGCATGTAATGCACCCCAGTTGTGTGGATTAACTAAATACAGAATATAATTTGTTTAGTGTATTGTACATTTGGAAATTTGATCAATTCTTGATACCTGATAATAATAAGATTATTTCGACTCAGTTTTTATTTTTAGGCAAAGTGGTCAAATATGCCTCTAATTTAGTAATTTTACATGAAAGTTTAATTAGGCCTTTAAATCTTTGAATGGTGCAATTAAACACTTTAACTTGTCATTTTGGTACATCTGTACTTAATAGCATATTAGTGACTTGTAATAGTAAGTTGTTAGGGTTTTGAGGAACAACCGCCTTCTTTGAAGAAAAGGTGACTTGCGAAGTCACCTTCTATATGAAGTAGGGCTGTTAATGATCAAACATGAGTGAGTGGAGGTTGTTTGTGTTCGTTAGTGTTTCACAAACACGTTGTGACACATTCACAGACACTAAACAAATAAATACATGTACATGTTTATGATCGTAATGTGTTCGTAAATAAGAAATAGTTTATATTCATGAACAATAACTAAACAAATAATATAATGATTATATAAAAAAAAAAAAAAGTTAACTAAACTAAAGTAGTATCTTAAAAATTAAAAATAAATTGCACATAAGTCTATTCATGAACAGTTTTAAACTAACACTAAACGAGCATATTCGTGAACAATATTAAATAAACACTTAACAAGCATGTTTATGAACGTTTTTAAACGAACGTATTCACGAGCTCTTAACAAAAAAATATACAAATGTTCAAGCTCAGTTCATTATTTACGAGGTCTAAATTTTGTTTTTGTTTTTGTTTATTAAAATGAACAATTACCAAACACAAACATGAGTTTACTAAAAGATCTGTTCACTAACCCTCCTAATCTAGATTTGTAAATTTGTCATTCTTGGAGGTGGGTTGGCTGGTGCCTTCTATCTAAGGGGGCGTTTGGTTCACAAAATGTTAGATTGTTGAGAATGTTAAATTTTTATGTTCGATCACGATATTGAAAGGAGATTGATTCGGTCAATTGAGTGTCATTTTTTTTTTTTTTTTGTGAACAACGATCAACGGTTAACGGCGTGCTTACCAGTTGGGAATTGAACTTATTTAACCAATTTTAATAAATTAAACTATTTAATTGCACCTTCCAAAAGTTGAAAAACCTAATTCCACTTTCGAATAAAGTTAGAAATCCTATTTGACCTGTTTCCCTTATTTTTATGCATGTTTCATGTCAATAGATAGCCTTGAGAAAATGAAATGAAAATAAAAAGCTTTCTTCTTTTCTTCTCAAGCCAAAAAGTGAAACGGTCGGAGGTATCCACGTCTCAAAAACATTAAATTGCAGTACCTGACTTTAACTGTTATCTAACAACATTGAGAACCACTTTACAGCAGCAATGCAAATATAGAATAGATCCAACCCTTTCACCATGCCGAACCTGCTATTCATGGATACCTCTTTTGTGCATATTCCTATATGTTGTTTGGTGAAAAATTTTGTCCTCACCAATGGCCAGTCACTCCCGACATGTGTTTTCTCATGGCGCGGTCTCTTCTGTTGTGATTTCGTCCTCCTCCCCTATGCCCTCTGCCTCTGGAGTTCCCTCGCCCTCCTGGACCGCTCTCCTCGTTTGTTTCAGTCTCGTCGTCTTGCTCTGCACTAGACTGGGTTGGCTTTTGAGCGGCACTTGAAGAAACATAGCCACGACCAAACCCATGTCCCCCCCGCTGTCCTCTCCCTCTGAAGTTCCCTCGCCCTCCTGGACCGCTCTCATTTGTTTCAGTCTCATCATCTTGGTCTGGATTGGAAGAAACATAGCCACGACCAAACCCTTGTCCCCCCCGCCGCCCTCTCCCTCTGAAGTTCCCACGACCCCCTCTGCTGCCATCCTCACTTAATTCATCACCCCGATCTGTAGCAGATTCGGCCATCTTTTTGACAGCACCTAATGGAAGATTACCACCCCGTCCAAGTCCATGTATAAGTTCTCTCTGCGATTGATTAACTAAGGAAGCTTCGTTATAATTAGCCACTGCAACAGAACCTTCAACTTTGTAGCTGTAGTTTTTGCCATCCTTAACATAGAATTGTGGCTTTTTACGTGAACCCCATTTTGTTGCATTGGAAGGATTAGCACCATAACTTCGATCATCAGCTTCCAAAGACTTTCCCCTGCTAGAATTTAATTTGTCATCCTGTGTTTCCGTTTCCTCAAATGCGGAGTCGCCAATACTCATACCTAAATCATCAAATGAGTCATCATACTCATCTTCATACTCAAGCTGTGACACGAGTGCAGCTGTCCTTGCCATATCCTTTTCGCTTCTAGAATTGAGAATCAATGAATCAGGTTGGTCAGTGTCTGTTTTCCTGACGAACCTCCCAACCACAGATGTGGAAGAATTAGAAGAACCGACAGCCTGATGTCTCACTGCTGCATGGTGAATACTTTTTTGGGGGACTGGTTCAGATTCCAATAATTTCCCTTTACCCTTGTCATTAGGTGTCAATGAGGGAACGGACTTGGGTTTTGGGGTTTCCTCTAAGGCAATGTCCAGAGACTGTAGGTCTTTGTGAAGGGTACCCTCTAGAATCCTCTGTATAACCTCTTCAGGATCCTGGTTATAAACTTCAAGACAGGCAACTAAGTAACCTTTCCCATACTCCGGAAATAGATCTTTTATTTGACTGATTTTTGATTCAATGATTGCTGTGTCTTCGTCATCCTGCAGTTTACCGGTTGTCCCAGCAGATGGCATGCTAGATGTAGTAATATTGGCTTTCAGCGGGTTGACCATGATCCCAGAGAGAAACCGAAGTTGATCATCATCCACAGTAAACCACCCTGCAAGTAACTATGTTGGCATCAGCATTGCTTGAATGGGATTAGCGGGACTTAAATACACAAAATAATGACTACTAGATGCAATAAACAAGTGACAGAACCTCAAAATTTAGTCATCATCTCACTCTAGAAAACATGTAAAATAAATTCAATAGGGCTGAATATCACATAATGTTCTACCTGCATTTCTCAATAGTTCAATCCGGCTCATTATTTTGTGATTCTCTTCAATGTTTTGTAGAAACGTCCCTTTAGTATGCCCTTCGGGAGAAGAAAAAGAAACACCATTGACATCCCTGATGAGCTGTACAAGTATATCTGTTCTTATGACTGGATCTTCCACCTTTGCAGGAAACATTTTCATGCCAACTGGAATAGGGAAACTTCCATCGAAAACCTCATCACTTAGATAGCAAAAGTACAGTAGTTTCCCACCAAAATTTACTATCCTTGTCGCTAACATTTTCAGACTAAGATAAACATTTGAATGCATACTACTGGATATATTTGAGGACCCATTGTCTTTAGATGCAAAAATTATATTGAAACCTCGGTGCAAGGATGGTAACAGGGAATCATGTAATCTTGCAAGGGTAGTAAGCATCTCCTCATTCCCATAACTGCATAAAAATAAATATTAAAGAATACTGTTGTGCTTTCTTGAATCTTGAGCATGCAGCCAAAGAAATAAAGTACAAGTTTAATGAGAAAAAAAACAACAATAGGCCTACAATGGCTACGCCTTTAAAAAGGATAAGCAAATTGGAAAATTACTGAACTGAATTAGGTATGTGTGTGTGACATAAGCAATTACTCTCATTCATGCAAAACATCCCACACATGTACAAATGTACACATTATCACTAATATCAAGCTATCAGAAGGTAAAACAATGCAACAATGATTTTAAATCTACTCAAAATATTATCCAGATGACAAGCAAATATAGTTTGATGTTTAGACTAAAATCAAATATTTTTTTATTGTAAAACATGGAGCAAGTATCATTGCTAGAAATGTTTGATTTGGTTAGTAAAATTGCATTTACTGGTGTGGATATTACAATATGGACCTTAAGCAGATTTTCTTAAAAGACACCATTATTAAGTAATAGTAAATACATTTCTTCAAAAATATTAAAGAAAAATGGGACATGAAAAGGAAAAAAAAAAAAAAAATCAACTAGGAAATAAGTACCTCATTTCAACAGGGCTAGAGAAGTAAACAGCAGACTGTTTGTAGGCATTAACAAATGCATCCAAGGAAACAACAGCATCATTTATGAAATCCATTACCTGCAGGTGAGACCATAACACTCAAAACCAGAGAAATAAATATACATACACTAATGAAAGAAACCAAAAAAGTGACTGCGGGTAAATAATAATAATAAAAAGAACAAGGAATACAAACATGCATCATCAATTATTGGAAGTTCGCCTTTAGTAAGTAGATACACGGCCAAGGAAAACATTCAAGCTAGAACCCTCAGGATTATATTTGCATGGAACACATGTATTTTTGTGTGTTTTTTCCTTGTAACAGAGCTACATAAAAATAAAATAGAAGGAACTTTTTCTGTTTCAACCTAACAGGAAATAAGTTCAAGTCACCTCTAAATAGTCTGCAAGAAGCCGAGTGGGCCCAAGGTCTTGACAGCCAACTGATGAAAATAAAACCTGCAAATGCCCCACAGAAAATATGTCAAAATATTGTGCCAACCTGCTTAAGGTAAGATCAGATACCGATTTCAGAGTTGGGCAAGAAGTTGGAGAATAAATTTCTGAAGACGAGATGTTAATAAAAGGTAAAGACATAACATAAAATACAAGCAATTGAGTTGAGAATCAAATATTCAAATAAGACAGACGGTGATTAACCTGAGTTTAAAAAAGAAACACAATTTTATGAACCACATGTGGTTATAATGCACCATGCAATCCCCAAATTTACTATTAAGGATCCTCCATGCTTCGTGTTGATTCCAATGTAATGATTTCAAATTTATTTGGATTCTTCTCAGAGGATGACCAAGTGCATAAAGCTACCACACAAAATATGGTATGAGGAAGGAAGATGCACATAACCTTAATTTTAATTTGATTTTGCTCTATTTATTTTGCAGTTTGGATCATGTATCCGTGCAAAATAGCTTTAACAGCTTAATCAATTATAAAACACCAGAAAATTTTGGTCTTGGTTAGTGAGCAAAACGACTAATACTAAAAACAGTTGAGCTCACAATAACAGATTAACAGCAGCTCTGTTCTTAACAATGACCAATTGCCGTGGAGATAATAAGAACAAGCTTAAAGCCTTCTTCATTGCAGAACTAGCAAGAGAACCGAGCACCAGGACCAGGTGTTTTAGTGTTGTTTCCACAAATGGCTTGTAGCTTAATATGAAGGGCACTAATGCCAAATTCCTCACATCTTTGAGCAATATCTCATGCTGCAAGCTTGGCCGCAGTGCAGCACATGGTCACGATTCATCCCTCTCAGCCCTGAGTTTCATAACCTCAGTAATACAAACCAATGTTTCCCTTCCAGACAAATCAGTTTCACTTAATGAAACTTATTGCAGGTTTTTTTAGAGGGGTTGTTTCTAGAGCTTGAACCTATGTAAGTCTTGAAGATATTTGAAGACAAATTCAATGCTTTAGAACTTACAAGTCTTGAAATGCATATATATATATATATATATATATATATATATATATATATATGTATATATATAAAATATCATGCATAGTGTAAAGCAATAAATGAGCAAGAAAATACAACGTGCGAGCACAAGTCCCTAACTAATCCTCAATTACATATACAAATAGGATAAATGAAACTATACCTCTAAAGATGAGGAACACCGTTGATACATAGTCTGAACAATGCTCAAAAAATGAGAAATGACTGCAGTAAGATCATCGTGGATCCATGGTTGTGCTTTTACTGCATTCACGACCTGGCAAAAATTATACATGTCAGAGAGAGAGAGGAGAGATTTTTTTTTTTTTTTTGGTGGTGGTGGTGGTGGTGGTGGGGGGGGGGGGGGGGGGATTGTCATGTACCAATTGAATTTATCTACTGATTGTATATCCTTTGAAGCCAGCAGGTTATGGTAATTAAGTTACTCAAGCAACATGCCTTCGAAATTGTAGGCTATAAAGGTCAATAGGGTTTAAACTTGGTTCATGCATTCGATACAGTGATCATATTATTTCTTTCCCTTTTAACATGAGAATGGGGTGGTGGCTTTGGTCATTGAAATTTTGTAAAACTAGGTTCTAATACAACTTGAGTAGAAGTGTAGAACCCCATGCAAAGCAAATGAAGCAATACTACCAAGTAACACATTTCAGTGATGATGCAAGAAAACCTTGTTATGGGGTCAGATGACAGTAAACATGCATGGAGTAAAAGATTAGTTGACAACAATAGTGCTTATAATTTAAATCAAAAGTAATCCATAAGCTTTTAAGCTTTTTAACACAAAAGGTTTTAAAAATTTGTACATCTTTCTATCTATATCAAGAACCATTTTGTTGAGCAAGGTAAAACCATCAAAAAAGAAATTTATGTATTGCTTAGGTGATCTATATACACTTTTCAGTTTTTATTATCAGCTTTGAATTATACAATCAATTTAAGCTTCTTGTAGCATTCTAAATTTTCAAGTTTAACATAAGCACAAGGACCAAGTCCAATGACTTCCACAATTTAATTGGTAAATAAGCTCTATTTTGTTCGCTTCTCTAGAATGACCCATATGGAGATGCCTCCCATGGCATAGCAGGCTTCCAGTAGCCCAATTTAGAATAGGGCTAGCTATAGTATTTCAGGTAATTGGTATTACACTATTAACCGGTTATTAGAACCATATACAATGGGCATCTATACACTCAAACTATTTGAAGCCAAGGTTGAAAAAATCGCTAGGCGCCTGGGGACTGCCTAGGGCGCCTAGAGCGATTAATCGGCGCCTAGGTGGCCGACCACCTAGCGCCTAGGCGCCGATTAATCGGCGCCTAGGCCCGATTTTTGCAACACTGATTGAAGCTATTGCTTTCAAATTCAAAAGTAAGCTATGAGGAGAGAGGGAGAGAGGCGGGGGGGGGGGGGGGGTGGTGGTGGTTGTAAAAAAAAAAAGAAGGCATTTATAAATAAAAACACTAAAGCAAATAATCAGATCTTAAACTTACCAATATTCTTGTCAAATCTTCATTTTCATGACCATATATAGCAGATATTTCTAACAACTTCGGCAAGTTAAGTAACTTCTTCTCCTGCAAAAGGGCTATAAGTGGAAATAGTTAGTAACACCACAATGAAGCTTATGACAAACGTTTCACCTTTAAATTAAGTGCTTTACTTTATGAATACAAAAAAAAAAAAAAAAAAAAAAAATCTCCAAGTGTGGCAGAGAAACTATATTTTCATAACTAGAATCTCAATTAGATTATTTATAATCCTACTCCAATGAATATTACAGCTCCAATGCCACCCCTTGTCACCACAACAGAAAATAAAATCAAGGTTGCAAAACACGTTAGGCGCCCCCTCGGGGGCGCCGATTTTTTAATTTTTCTTTTTTAAATTAAAAAATATAAAATTTAAACTAAAAATTTTAAAAATTCAATAGTAAAACATAAGGTTCCTCTAGTTTTTTTCTTACAAATTATTTACGTAAGTGGTTGTAAAATCATTTTGAATATTGTTGAAACCATCTAAATACATAAAAAATTAAAATTAAGAGCAAAAGAAGCATTTTTGGAGAAATTAGAGGGCCAAACCGCCTTTGGCTGTTTGCGGTGTATAGATCTTGAAAAAATACGCAATTTGAAGAAAAAAATTGTCCAAAACGGACAACCGAATCAAAAGTTATGCCTTGCCAAAGTTTCTACACTTTTCAACACACACACACACACACACACACACAAAAATTTGTTCGGCCGGTTTAGCCGGCTAGCCGCCCGGCCGCGGAAGAGGCCGATTCCGGCCTAATCGTCTGCGGCCGGGTGGCGCCTAGGCGCGATTTTTGCAACACTGAATAAAATAGATGGCTCTCTCTGCTCAATTTACACTTGTAGGATAATTACAATGAGGTCTCCAGAATCATAGTGAGAATATGCGATTGGTTGGAAGTAACATTCAGAGATGAATATCAGATTTTCAGGTGAATCTGTACAATTACAATATTACAGACTGCATCCTTAATTACACCATCAGGGCCAATTATATTGTTTCCTTATTGAATTCAGAATCACAAAACAACAGTGTGTGTTCAGGTGAATCTGTATAATTACAATATTACAGAGAGCAAGCTTAACTACATTGCCGGGGCCTATAGTTTTTTCTTTATCTAATTCTGAATTTCTTGAGAAGTTATAAACAACAAATTGCAATGGAGCAAGGATAATATACCCGAATAATCTTTCTGACTGAGACTATCAGCAGCCTTGACTCCAGGATCCCGATTAGAAGATCTACAATAAGAAATGGTATTCACATGATGCTAAGATGGATAATGGAAAATACTAAACCACTGGTGCACCCAAAGAAAGGAGTATAGAAGTGACTGTAACTTACACGCGATATAAGGCCATGAAGACACGCCGGGATAGCTCAAACTCACCAACAATGACTCCAGCAACTATGCCCTTTGCTCCTCGGTATGGGAAATCATACCATCTACTCCGAAACTTAAGAAAGCTTTCAAGGAAAGAGTGAAGGGAAGTGTCGCTGGCCACTGAGAAGAATAAAAGGTAGGCAGGAAAGAGTTAAAGATATTTAGCAAGTAGCACCTAAAGTAACCCCTAAAATCCGTCTTAACAACAGTCAAGAGAACATTTAGCATTCCAACAAAAAGATATGCTAAATTGTATAAATGCAAAAGCATTAGCATCAACTGTTTACAGTTTTTTAAATGCTGACAGTCTATGTTGCACGGAAATGAGTTCTACTACATAGACTCCCAAAATTCTACTCCCTCATTTATACTCCCTGAGGTGGCAATCCAGGATTGGTTATTTTCATCATGTGGGTCCACAGAAAAATGTCTACATCAAGACCATGTGAGAGGGAGTACAAGTTGGGAGTTTAAAATGGGAGTACACCAAGTATTTTCCGCACGGAAATAGGAAACATGAAACAATAATTTCAAAACATGTAGAAAACAAAACGTGAGGGAAACATATAATATAATATATATATATATATATATATATATATATATATATATATATAGGTATATTTGCAAATATTTTTTTATATAAAATATATATAAATATAAATAATCTACTACTCTACTAGATTCATGAAAAAAGTATTACACTAATAAATAAAAGTAATGCACTAAATCATTAATAAATAGTTAAATATCACAACGTTTATTTGAAATAATAACACACATACACAATATCCAAAATCTAAATTATTCTTAAACTTAAACATTCATGTTTTAATTAACATCTCCATTAAAAAATATACAAACTCCAACTCAGGTTCATCTAAAGATAGGTTGGCAAACTAAAGGATGTCAACATCTTCCATGCTCGCAAATCCATAGTCAACTAGTCCTTGTGTTGCTAGACGTGTCATTGCTGCTGGTTGGAGGCTGCATCACTATTGTTGTTGGTGTGTTGCTGAGATGAAGGGAAGCAGTATCGAACTTCACTAAAATATCACGGAATAGGATTTAAAGCAAGCTTTCCAGATTCTAAAATTTGACCTCAATTTTAAAAAGAAAAAAGAACCAGAAACCTGTTTCCAATTTTGGAAACATCTCTGCATGAGTTTCAGGACATTTTGGCGACAAAACATTTCCAAAACGTGGAAATACTACCCTTTCAGAGTTCCTGTACAACATAGCTGACAATATGTCCACGTAATAACGGTGTTGCAGAACAACTAATTTTACCTAGTGCTTTCAAGCTGAAAGCATTATAGTATTCTCACAGCACATAGACGCTTTACTACATTCTGTTTTTCCTCTCACCAAACTTCAGTCACCATCAAAATTAGTGAAACTTTCAAAAGCCAACCCTCAAGGAAATAGCGTATTCCCAACACTCCCAAGTCTGTGCCACTCTCAAAAGCCAGTAATAGCTTAACTTTCTTATTCTCTGATCAGTCATCATATGGAAAATGATAATGGAACCACCTGTTTGTGATATGATGTGAACAAACACATGACTCATCAATAGACAAGCACATTCCATTCCAATGAAATATGTGAATGAGATGCCCATTAAAAATCTTCATTCAACAATTATCAAATTCCTAATTGCAGTCATGCATGTAGAAAAGCAACATCTTTATAATTGAGATGTATAGACATTTCACATTCCACATTCTTAGCAGAGCAAGCTTAGGTGTTTAGGAACCTTCATACTGGCCATATAACAATGGATGAACTACTTCACTTATTTCCAATAACCTAAAAACTAATTAGTAGTTAAATATAATGCACAAAAAGAAACATTTTAGCTCAGGCAGGAGAAGGCTCAGCAGAATTAAACCCAAAAAAAACCTTCGTATAAGCTTACCTTCTCGCCAGAAATCTCTAGGGTTGAGTTTAAGTAACCGAGACAACTCTCTGTTCAAAAGATCCACCACTCGCTGCGATTCCACAGGATCCAATCCGCCCTCGTCAGCTCCAAGCCCAGCCGCAACCGCCTCATCCTGAGGCAAGTAATTGACAAAATTGCCACTGTGGACACCACTGGAAACCCAGTCCCCATTCTCCGACATCCTAAGCCTGCTCGCTGATCCTCCTCCGCTGCCGCTACCACCGGCGGCGCCACCGGACTTCTTAGATTGTTGTTGCCTGAGAGAATTAGATAGAGTTTGATTGGTTTGGACATCTTTCTTCGGCACAAACTTCTGTTGGGGTCTGCTGCTGCTGCTGCCGCCCCCTTGGTACCTGTTCTGGCTGCTGAATCGATTCGAAGACATAATTATACGCAGCGTATATCGACTTATGTATGTATATATAAGTGTGTATCGATGTGATGATTCAGTAGCCGTTCGCCACTCCAGTTAGGGAGGTTGTGCGTCGCCGGGGGCCGGAGTTGTAAGCTGTAACGCACCTATGACCTACCTCCTTCTCTGAGGAATGAAACGATTAAACGATATAACCTTTGCGACTTCTGTGTAACACGTAAGAGTAAATGGAATTCTATAATGATTACAATTGTATAAATCTTTGGGAGGGGAGGGGAGGGGCAGTTGTATAAATTGTAAATAAAAATCTTGATTACAATTTTTAAAAAGTAATTATATAGTAGCGAGAAAAGCGTCTTATTTTATATATCTAATTTTATATGGAGGGTGGTGCACTAGGCGGTTGAGCGGTAGTTCTGCTTCCTCATGTGTCTTATTAAAGTTAAGAATCACGCGCGTGTGATATGACAACACTATGTGCTTGGTTCGTACTTATTCGAATTATTAATGGGCAATTACTATGAATTTTTCGTTCCAAAAATGATTTTTCTTATCAGTTCTGGTTGAAAACGATCTACTGGGTGAAAATTATGCTCACTGAATAAACAAGCTCCCTCCCAATTGTAATCATGGTTGGGAAATCGCACGAGTCACACGACTCTTACTACTTCATATTGGAAAGTGACGGTGATGACTCTCCACATGCTTCCTGAGCGCAAGACCAGTACGATGAGTTCATATTACATATACTAGCCCCCTTAGCACTTCCACCGATGGTTGTAAAGCTTCAAGGTGAGGGCTAACGGTACTTTGTTGACCTGTCAAGTGCGAGGATAGAAAGACCTATGACTTAGGATGTATGGGAATATCGTCGTTTCTGGTATAATTAGTTATTATTGATTTAGTAGAAACGACACGTGTTGCCCATCTGGGGTACCTTGGGAATTGAATTGAAACTTTTGAAATTCTCTTATTGTATCCTTCTATAAAAAGACTTATTGGTGGGCCAAATTGCTTTTCTACTTACTTCGAGTATTAGAGAGCAATCAAAGCACATTGCTAAGATTTTCGGCCTGCTTACTTTTTTTTTTTTTTTTTTTTTTTTTTTTTGCAACGTTTTTCAATCAGTAAGTTCTCAATTTTGTTTTTTTGTTTTTTGTTTTTTTTTTTTTTGTCAATTTCATTCATTTACGTTATTTTCAGTTTACACCACTCCCCAAATTTTTATTTGATAAAACGCATTACATAATGGAAATAATATTATATTATATTCATGGATTTTGCTTATGTGTCCCCTTAAATCCTTATTACGACATAATGATGCAACTTTTTTCTTTATACATTAGCTACATTACGAATGAGACACTTATTTACAACAAGAAAAAAAAAAAAAAGAGAATGACACACTTCAAATACAGTTATGAACTTATTCAAACCTTTCTTAGCTATAATAGGATTTGAACAACTTCACTTGCGCAGTTGTGTAAATTGTAAATAAAAATCGTGATTACAATTTTTTAAAAATAATTATGTAGAAGCGAGAAAAGCGTCTTATTTTATGTATCTAATTTTGTACGGTATTCAACAAAAGGTCTTGAGTTTATGATCTAGAGGTGTTTATACCGTGCAAAGTAGATATCAGATATTGATTGGAGAGTGTGTGTAATGGAGTGGTCTAGTGTGTGGGGTTTTCATATTCTTCCAAAGGTGAAGTACTCATGAAGGATGTAATTTATCTTTGATAATTACAATATGATTTTTGAATTACTCTTTTTTTAATTGTCAAGTTTAAATGAAATTATGGAAAGAATGATGTGGGTTAACATATAGTCTTATATGTTGAAAATGATATGTGATCGGAGTTTAATTTACCACACAATGTGAATCAAGATATAAATTCATAATTTTATGAAATCAAAGGCCTAGAATGCAATTAAGGCTTTAGAATTCATATGGTGTGTGATAAGACTTATGTTTGCGTATCCACATAATTCTGGCCCTTAGCGTGCTCGCCATGTGTTGAGGGTGGTGCACTAGACGGTTGAGCGGCAATTCTGCTTACTCATGTGCCTTACTAAAGCTAAGAATCGCGCACGTGTGATATCACAACACTATGTGCTTGGTTCGTACTTATTCGAATTATTAATGGACAATTACTATGGGTTCTTCTTTCCAAGAATGATTTTTCTGATCAGTTCTGGTCGAAAACGATCTACTAGGTGAAAATTATGCTCACTGAATAAACAAGCTCCCTCCCGATTGTAATCATGGTTGGGAAATCGCACGAGTCACACGACTCTTACTACTTCATATTGGAAAGTGACGGTGATGACTCTCCACATGCTTCCCGAGCGCAAGACCAGTACGATGAGGTCATATTACATATCAACTAGCCCCCTTAGCACTTCCACCGATGGCTGTAAAGCTTCAAGGTGAGGGCTAACGGTACTTTGTCGACCTGTCAAGTGCGCGGATAGAAAGACCCATGACTTAGGATGTATGGGAACATCGTCATTTCTGGTATAATTAGTTATTATTGATTTAGTAGAAACGACATGTGTCGCCCATCTGGGGTACCTTGGGAATTGAATTGAAACTTTTGAAATTCTCGTATCGTATCCTTCTATAAATGGGCTTAGTGGTGGGCCAAATTGCTTTTCTACTTACTTCGAGTATTAGAGAGTAGTCAAAGCACATTGCTAAGATTTCCGGCCTGCTTACTTTTTCCTTTTTTTTTTTTTTTTTTTTTTTTTGCAACGTTTTCCAATCAGTTAAGTTCTCAATTTTGTGGTTTTTTTGTCAATTTCATTCATCTGCGTTATTCCCAGTTTACACCCCTCCCCAAATTTTTATTTGCTAAAACGTATTACATAATGGAAACAATATTATATTATAGGCATGGATTTTGCTTATGTGTCCCCTTAAATCCGTATTACGACATACTGATGCATTTTTTTATTTTTTATTTTTATATTTATACATTAGCTACATTAGGAATGAGACACATATTTTGGGCCCAACTCCTTACACAAATTAAGCCCAATCAATATAGTTTATTATTAATGAATTTAAAATTTGTATTATTCAATCATTTCTTTATTTGCTATGCAAAATTTTACAATGTCACATATTTTACAAAATTCTACCTTGTATTAAAAGTATACCAGGGAGAGTGTACAATATCGCAATGCACATGCTACACATGAAAAAGCACAAAATACTCCCATGGGTCATGACACCATAATTTTTGTAAAATTTATTTTTATCTTTTTGGGTTATATGACACTAATAAAGTGAAGTGATAACAATTACTTTTACTTCAATAAATAATCTTTGTACAATTACAGAAGTACTGTAACTCTGAATTTGGGACCATACATGAATAGTTGCAGTGCCAGAGAAGATTCATGTATCCTATTTAACAAGCCGGGTAGTCCACCAAATAAGTAATAACACATGCATTTGGAGAACATTTTTTTGTTAATTATTCTACATATTATTTCAACATGAAAATTAGTGTTTTTTTTTTATTTTTATTTTTTTATGGGATAATTTTTGCAAGTCAGAATATGCATTCTTCTTTGTATCTGGTCACAAGCTTGGCAGCATTTTCTGATAGAGACCCATGTCCATTCCATTGTAGGCAATTGGGGCATACATCCAAAGATCCTCTGAACTTAGTAACTGGAGGATAACAACCAAGAAAAGAACAAGTTTAATAACCATGACTTTTTTGGAATATTTATGGTTCATAAATGAGAATTAACGAAATTTCTTCATCCCTGTCCCGACAGGATAATGGAGAAGTAAATCAGGGTGACTCAGCAGTCTATTATGTGGGAGGACCACATTGGGTGTAACTCCCACATTGCAGCTGCTATGACTCGGTCACGTGTCTTTGTTTATAATCTACCATCCAGGAATCCCGTGCGGGGGAATTAATGTAATGCTAATTTTAATTAGTATTGTATATCCAGTTAATTACCTTAATTTGAAGCTGAAGAAATTTGACATAGTGAACAGCCTCTTCAAGCATGGTGCTAATGTCAACCTTTGTTCCATTAGGGACAAGGTTCTGCAAGATTCTCAGTCTCTCATTGATTCTTTCTCTTCTCCTCTGCAAAACCCCACATTATAATATAAGACAACATGTAGTTTACGTTTAATGAAACATGATTAACATAAATTAAGGTGGCAGTTCATCAGTACCCTTGCATACAAGCTTTGTGGATCAGTAGCAGCCCCTCTGCTAGCCCTTGCTTTCCCACTGGAATTCGAATTCGGGGCGTCCCTGTTCATCAGCTCCAGAGATTCATCTTGATGATCACTGCTGCTGCAGCTTGAGGTCTGTGCATTTCTCTCCTCCTGATCTTCTTGATGATCTTCATTCCCACTTTCTGGGTTCTGCTTGGACTTTGACACTGCCACTTTCTTGTTTTTCTGTGCCTGCATTTAGTAGTAAAATGTAAATATTAGATTCATTGCAAAAAGATTGTTGGGCAGAGGCCCGTAAAGGCCAAGTCCAGCACCTAGTCCGGGTGAGGATTATTGGCAGAGGCCTAAAGAGTCAAGTTCAGCATATTGCCTCTCATAAGAAAATAAAGTTACGCATTCGCTACGAGCTATAGCTTTTGGCCTAACGAGTCCCAACAGGAGCAGTTAAGGCTGGCGGGTGCTGGGGAATTGTTAGGCGGAGGCTGGTAAAGGCCAAGTCCAACACCTAGTGACTGGGGGATTGTTGGGCAGAGGCCTGAAGGGCCAAGTTTAGCATATTGCCTATCGAAAATGTGAGTGGTATAAAGAAATAAAGTTGGGCCTTCGTTACGAGCTATAGCTTCTGGCCTAACGAGTCCCAACAAGAGCAGTTAAGGCTGGCAGGTGCTGGGAGAATTGTTGGGCGGAGGCTGGTAAAGGCCAAGTCCAACACCAGCACCTAGCGACGGGGGATTGTTGGGCAGAGGTCTGAAGGGTCAAGTCCAGATTTATCGATACAATTATGTGTGAAGTGTGAACTCACATTTCGCGAAACCCGGGGTTTTTTCTTGGGATTCTCAGATGAATCTTCTGCTGCTACTTTCTCAGGTTTCCTCTTGAGCTGCTGCAAGTTCTTGGTTGAATCATCAGCAATGGCAGACTGCAGGTGCCCTTCAGCACTATTGATCATCATCTCTTCTTTTGAGCAGACAGCAATGTCTGCTGCTCCCATAACCTCATTAGGATGACAACAGACAGGAACT